GGTCGAAATGAATATAGGCCCCTTAGGAAATGAATCTGGGGAACTGGTAACGGGAGCAAGGAAATGGCAGAGAAGTTAAACAGATATTTTGCATCGGTCTTTAGCAGGTAAGATACTTTGAACATCCCATTAATACTAAAGAATATGGGGGAGCAATTAAATGCCATCACCATCATTAGAGAAGTAGTATTAGACAGACTAATGGAGCTAAAGGCAGATATGTCTTCTGGCCCAGATGGCTTGCATCTGAGGATCCCAAAAGAGGTAGCTACAGCAATAATGGATGGATTGGTAGTAATTTTCCAACAATCCTTGGATTCTTGAGAAGTACCAGAGGATTGGAAAATTGCCAGTGTGTCACCCCTGTTCAAAAAGAGAGGGAGGCAAAAAGCAGTAACTGTTGGCCAATGTACCCTAACATTTATTTTTGGAAAAGTATTGGAATCAATTATTAAGGAAATAATAGAAGCACATTTGGAAAATCATAACCTAATCAAGCAGAGTCAGCATGGCTTCATGAAAGGGAAATCGTGTCGAATTACAGTTTTTCGAGGAAGTCTCAAACAGGATAGAGGGGATAGATGTGTTGTACTCGGACTTCAAGAAGGCATTTGCCAAGGTAACAAAAGGTTAGATCATAAGAGCCCACATTGTTGGAGATTGTTAATTTGGCATGGATAGAGAATTTGCTAATGGCTGGGAATAGTGAGTGGGGATAAGGGGTTATTTTTCAGATTAGTGACCTGTAATCAGTAGGGTTCCATAGGGATCAATACTGGGACCTCAGTTGTTTACAATATGTATCAATGATTTGGAATAGGCAAGTGAATGTACTGTAGCTAGATTTGCAGATGACACAAAAACAAGTAGAAAGGCAGGTTGCAAGAGGGATGCACACAGTTCAGAGATAGACTGATAGGTTAAGTAAGTAGGCAAAAAGTTGGCAAATGGAGTACAATGAAGGAAAATATGAAGTTGGCCATTTGGAAAGGAAAAAAAAGTATAGTATTATTTAAATATAGAAAACTGCAGAAAGCTTGGGGCTTGGGGGTACTTGTGCACAAAACACAAAACAGAACACCTCCTACCCTAGCTCGCAGGTGCAGCAGGTAATCTGAAAGGCTAATGGAATGTTGGCCCCTTATTTCAAGGGGTTGGTGTACAACAGTAGTGAAGTCATTCTGTAATTGTACAAGGTGCTGGTGAGATTACTTGGAGTCATACAGCGCATGTTGAGTACTGTGAGCAGTTTTGATTCCCTTACTTAAGAAAATATATCATTTATTGGAGGAGGTTCAGAGAAGGTTCATGAGGATGACCCCTGGTATGGAGAGATTGTCTTATGAGCAAAGGCTCAACAGGTTGGGATTCTACTCACTGGAGTATAGGAGAATGAGAGCTGATTTCATTGAAACATACAGAATTCTATGAGGGGCTTGACAGAGTAAATGCTGAGAGGATGTTTCCACTCCAGGGAGAGTCCAGGACCAGAGGGCATAATCTCAGAATAAAGGGGCACCAATTCAAGACTCCTCAGAAGGTTGTGAGTCTTTGGAATTCCTTGACACAGAGTCCTGTAGGGGCAGTGTAGTTGTGTATGTTTAAGGCTAAGAGAGAGAGATATATAGATAGATAGATTAGATAGATCGATTAGATAAATTCTTGATCAGCAGGGGAATCGAGGGTTCTGGTGAAAATGCAGGAAAGTAGATATCAAAAATGTCAGATCAGCCATGATTCTATTGAATGGTGGCACAGGCTCAAGGGGCTGAACAGCCTACTCCTGTTCCTATTTCTTATGGTCTTTTGGTCTGACCCTAACTGCAGTAAACGTTGTTTTAACTGGCACCTTACAGACTTAGAGTCATACAGTACAGAAACAGACCCTTCGGTCTAACTAGTCCATGCCAAACATAATCTCAATTGAAACAACTCTCACCAGCCTGCTCCTGCCCCATATCCCTCCAAATCATTCCTATTCACCCAAATGTCTTTTAAACATTGTAATTGTACCCACATTCACCACTTCCTCAGGAAATTCATTCCACACGTGAACCACACTCTGTGTAAAAAAAATTGCTCCTCATGTCTCTTTTAAACTTTTCTCCTCTCACCTTAAAATGTGCCCCCTAGTCTTGAAATCCTGCATCCTAGGGAAAAGACAACTACGAATATCTCTATTTTTACCCCTCATTATTTTATAAACTTCTGTAAAGTCACTTCTCAACCGCCTACGCTCCAGTGAAAAAAGTCCCAGCCTTTTTTTATTACTCAAACCTTCCATACCCAGCAACATCCTGGTAAATCTCTTCTGCACCTCTTCCAACTTAATAATATCCTTCTAATAACTGGACAACCAGAACGGGACACATTATTCTAGAAGAGGCCTCACCAATGTCCTGTACAACCTCAACTTTTAGAATCATAGAATCCTTACAGTCTGGAAGCAGGCCATTCAATCCATCAAGTCTACACCAACCCAGACCCACCCTCTTACCCTCCTACCCTATCCCTGTACCCCACATTTCCCATGGCTAACCCACGTAGGCTGCACAACCCTGGAAACAATGGGCTATTTAGTACAGCCGATCCACCTAACTGCACATCTTTGGACTAAAATACTGGAATTTTTTGAAAAGGTAATAGACTGTTGATGTGGTTTACGTGATAGACT